TCAGTTTTTACCGAGTAGCACAGACACGAAACATAGAGGATTAGAATCATAGAATTTCCCAGGCCGGAAGGGACCTCCAAAGGCCATCTAGTCCGACCTCCCCGCAGTCAGCAGGGACACCCCCAACTAGACCAGGTTGCCCAGGGCCTCGTCGAGCCTCTCCTTGAATATCTCCAGGGATGGGGCCTCAACCACCTCCCTGGGCAACCTGTTCCAGTGCTCCACCACCCTCACAGTAAAGAACCCTCTCCTAATCTCCAATCTAAATCTGTTCCCCTCCAGCTTGAAGCCATTTCCCCTCGTCCTGTCACTACAGGCCTTTCTAAACAGGCTCTCCCCAGCCTTCCTGTAGGCCCCCTCAGGTACTGGAAGGCTGCTATTAGGTCTCCCCGGAGCCTCCTCTTCCCCAGGCTGAACAACTCCAGCTCCTTCAGCCTGTCCTTGTAGCAGAGGTGCTCCATCCCCCTGATCATCCTTGTGGCCCTCCTCTGGACCCTCTCCATCAGGTCCATGTCCTTCTTATATTGAGGGCTCCAGACCTGCACACAATACTCCAGGTGAGGTCTCACCAGAGCAGAGTAAAGTGGCAGAATCCCCTCTCTGGACCTGCTGGCAACGCTTCTTTTGATGCAGCCCAGGATGCGATTGGCCTTCTGGGCTGCAGCTGCCCACTGCCTGCTCATGTCCAGCTTCTCGTCCACCAGAACCCCCAAGTCCCTTTCCTCAGGGCTGCTTTCCAACACCTCACCCCCTAGTTTGTATTGGTGGCGAGGATTGTTCCGGCCCAGGTGCAGAACCTTGCATTTGCTCTTGTTGAACCTCATGAGGTTCACCTGGGCCCACCTCTCCAGCCTGTCCAGGTCCTTTTGGATGACATCCCATCCCTCTGGTGTATCGACAACACCACACAGCTTGGTATCATCCGCAAACTTGCTGATGGTGCCTTTAATCTCCCTGTCTATATCATTGATAAAAATGTTAAACAGCACCGGTCCCAGCACGGACCCTTGAGGAAGAGAGGAAACACAGTGTCTATAAAATAAAGTACTCAAGTACTTTCAGACACCAATGTCTAGTTCAGATATATAGAATATTCAGTGATGGTGAAACTCAGCATGAAACAACAACATGAGCTGAGTATATTCCTTTGGGAAGAAGAGAGCCTACAGTTGATGAATGGTGGAATCCAATTTATTCAGCTACATATAAGCATGAGAGCCTTTTGTCCAGAAGATGAGTGGTGCAAGTCCTTCTAAACTATAAGCAGATGGTATCTTTTTCAGGATTTGTGAGGTTCTACATTGCAACCTTATGTTGTGATCTTATCTAGGTTGGAAGGGACCTCTGGAGATCACCTGGTCCAATTCCCCCTGTTCAAGCACATGCTTATTGACTCAGTAGGAGTTCATTTTAGTGGGACAGAGTAGTAACACGGTGCCTCCAACTCATCTTCGTATCTGTAGGCTAGGGGCATTTTGGTCCTGCATTAGACATGAAAACGGGTTTCCTCCATTCAGTAGGCACCATTCCAGAGGCAGTGGATAACAATCCAAGGCCTGGAGAAGGAGCTGTCGAACAAGATGGACACCTGTAGAATCCCTGTAACATTTCCTTCCTCCCCTCACCCTAAAATATCAAAGCACGAACAACCAACAAAGTAGGAAATTATGGGGACATAACAGCATCTGAGGTTTTTTTAGAAAACAGGGAAATTAAATGTCTTAGGTGCACTGTAATTCTTTTCGTTCCATCTTCTTCCCTACTCGGGTGTGTGTTTTGTCACAGCAATGGTGTTGGAGCACTCAGAGCATGGATTTTGTAGCAAGCGGAGTCAGGGAAAGTTGAGAGCATCAAGGAACCACACAGAAGGCAAGTGATGCCATGGATGGCCTCCACTGGAATATCCCTCTTTCCTGGGACACAAGTACACCAGGAGTTCTTTGAAGCAGAGGACAGACTCACATCTTCTGCCACAGGAGACAAATCCAGCTCCATGCCTTTCCCGAGGGAAAAAGAAGGAATTCTACAAAATCACACTCTCAGAGTTTAACCAGTCTTACAGAGATGATCATCACAGAGAGGAGAACATATCCCCAAGAAAGGACTTCTGGATTCAGCTTGCATAAATAAACCTCAGGGAGTGAGTGGGTGAGTGGGTCAAGTGAAAGATACCAAGAGCAAAGTTGAAATATTACATTTCTGTGGCTGCCGAGCATGCTCCCAGTGCAGTGGCACCGGGAGAGCTGATGGCCCCCTTTAAGAAGAGAATTAAAAAAACAATCGGCTTGAGGTGAAAGTTTGCATGTATACTGGACTTGCAGTGCTGGCGAGTCATTTCTGAAGAGTAACTAGTGCCAAAATGTGAGACGAGATCTTCATACGGCTGCTGGTGAAGTGGATCTTCCCCAGTCATCCGTCCAGTATTCCAACTGAACCTCCAGCCAAAATTCAGGAGGCAAATTTCATTCCATTAGCGGTACCTCGCCGGGAGTTGGCATTCTGCTGTAGTTGTGATGGTGGGATGGATAGAAGGCAGAAAGATGAATTAATAACACCTCATTATGATGAAATATCAAGGTATGTTGGAAGGTCACCTTGTGTTGTATAATTATACATTCAAAAGAATTTAAATTCTTGCTTCAGCCCTTACTGAATCTGAGGCAGGAGCAGCGATGGGAAAAACCTCCCTTAAAAATCCCAAGAATCGTACTTGTTTTGGCATGACACTGCCTAAGGTGATTTGCGAACAAGGCTGACTTTGCCAAGCTTTCACAGTAACGCAAGGTTCAGCATAAACATTAAATCAGCTTTCCATTTGCATGGATAGGATTATTTGATCATGTAGATTTTGTTAGTTTAAAGGGCCCCAGTATTCTAATGCTGGAGCCAAAATGAAGTACTCAAAGTAACAGTATGTTAATAATTTTAAGCAGTCATTCAAAAAAAATATCTAAGGTTGTCATATTGTCTGAGTTTGGAAGACAGGGAGCATGTCTGCTGCCACAAATTCTACTGGTACTGGAGCTACCCATCGCTTTGAAAATCAGGCTGGAACCGTACAGCAGAAGTAGATGCTCCACTCCAAGTGAAGTTAAGCTTTGTTTTGTTGTCGAAGCCAGTATTGCTGGAAAGTTTAAAAAGATACAGAAACATCTAAGTATGGGTTGAAACAGTCTTGTTAAAGAGGCTGCAGTTAGTAAATATTGTGTATGTCTGGAAAGCAGCACAGACCATTATTTATTATTTATTCAGAGTCAAAATAAATAAAGCCCTTTATGGACAAGTAACAGGCTACCGCACTTTACCCCACCGGTTTCAGTCTGATGTCCTTTGGTTTCAAATCAGACTTGATGAAATTGTTCTCTTGATGTCCCTGCACAAAGCAGTTTGCAGTGTGCGGTGACACAGCATGACCTGAATGAGACAAAATCGTGTTTAGTTCATCAAAGACAGTCGTCTTCCAGCTGTTGCTCTGCTCTTGTCTTGGTGGCACAGATTTCTGCAGAGATTCTTATGTCTAACTGAGAAAGTCACAGTGCTCTGGGTCTCTGTATCTGGTGTGGACATGTCACAGGCAGTGTCATAGAGATCCAGCGTCCATGTGAGAGTGTCAAGACGTAAAGTGCCATTTTGCAGAACTACCTCATGTTTAGCAAAAGGACGCCCATATCCTACCCCTGCCTCTGCAATGAGAGGGGAAGGACTGTCGCTGAGCACTCCTTGTTCTCCCAGTACAGATGGGAGAGGTCTTCTTCTATGAAGAGCAACAGTGAAATGATGCCTCTGGCTGTCATTGCTGTTGAGGACCTGCATCAGACAGAAGAAAAGGAGTGTGCAGAGAGGGGCCGGAGAACTGGCGTTTCTCCATAACCAAAGGCTGCCAGTGAAAACATGGGAACGTGCATCATCTGTCAGGTCACCAGGGCTCCGTTGAGCAGTTCTGGAAATGGTAACCTGTAAGCGCACGCCGAGAGCTGTGCTGCAGAAGAGAGGGGCAGCCTGGCTGCTGGCTGACCCCAGTTAGTGTCAGAGTTCACAGTGCCGATGAATTGCTGTTCTTGGAGTAATCCACCATTTGTTGAACCAAAATGGTACACAACATCTGGGGCCTGGTCTTCACAGATGCCCTCATTCTTGGCTGGATCCTTAATCATCCCTCAGTAACCTGTTGGAATGTCCTGGGAGTTTAGACCTAAAATTGCGCTGTTGGTGGCACCCTATGCATTCAGCACAGAGATGGCAATGCAGCCACACAAAGCTGAACTCCGGGTTTACTTGGGCACGATGGGGTGGTAGTATTTTATAAATGATGAGTGAAAATATTTTAAATTGCACTTTGAAAAGTACCACTCTCTGAAAGCTGCTGTTTTTTCTGAAAGCCTTCGGACATTCAGCCTATTAATTTGTTTCTTTCCTAAACATATCTTTATGCAGCAGAAGTATTCCTCTCCTTCAAGGTAAATTCTGTACCGTCTCACACCCCATTCTTTACAGACCTTCATAAATCCATTGTCATTTATTTGACCACTTAAACTTAGGAACACATTTCTGATATACTATATACAAGAAATTTAATTTTGAATGTATATCCATAATAATTAATCTCTAATTTTATTATGTTTTAATGAACTGCATGACATTCACTCCGGTTTTGTCTCTTTAAATAGCTATTTAAATATGTTCTTTGTAGTGAAAACTATTTTGTTAATATGATTCATAGGATAGTATTAGTTGAGAAAGTTATTTCATTCCTTTTAAAGGATGCAATTCAATTTTCAGAAGTACCATATCAAAAATATGTCATATATATCCCCTTTTTTACCATGTTTAGTAGAAACTTGAAAGGTTCTCTGACGGACTGGAGAAAACATGGAGGCAGAAGAAGTGAGGTCTCAAAAAAAATAACATTTTCACCCTGTGTTGGCAGCTGTCAATGACAAATATAAATTCATGTTGATTAAAGCAGGTCATATTCTGAAAATATTTCTTTATTCTTTCAGACCACTCTTCCGTGGAAATTCAGATGTTGACCAGCTAGGAAAAATCTTTGAGTAAGTAATAACTAGTTGCATTATGTCAATATGTGTTTAACGTTGAAACACCGTGCGGTTGCTTTGCCATGTTTTTATGCAATAATGTGACTAGAACAAAGTATTCCTAGAACATATTTCCTATTGCTACCATATGCAACATGATATTTCCGTGCATTCTGTGTCAGAGTGGGAGGACGGAGCAACATGGAATATAGTTCTGCAGAACTAACTGCCATCGTCAAGAAGTTACGGGACACTTCTGGTTGGGGCTTTATAAATCTCTTAAACATATTGTGCATGTACCATTCGTGTTTATTCCTAAACAGTTACATCCAAGAGATTCTCTTCACATAAACAAACGCAGAGGTTTTGTTTTTCGGTAATTTCTTTGTATATTTCAGAAAAAATTAGAATACTTTAAAATTGTTATTAAACGGAAATCTCCAAGATGATTACCAACAGCTTCTTTGCAGAAAAGACTTCTGTACATAAGAAAATATTTTAGCTTTCGAAATCTAGCGCAGCCTGTTAAAATTATTAACAGTCCATATTTTGGCCAGGAAGGTAACTGTGAGAACAGAAGGAATATCAGCATTTTAACATGTGCTTTTTTGGAGATGAACTAATTGGCTTAATTTTAAAATCATTTTACAGTTCTAGGAGTTTGTGTTTTTCTCCTTCAGATATATCGAATTTGTTGAGGAGGTGGGAGGTTCTAAATTCTCTGAGGTAGAATAATTCTCTTCCAAAATACTTTCTTAGTTAAAAACCAAAAATTTAAGTTATTGGCATTACTGATTTGATAATTAAGTTGGATTATATAACTTTTTCTTGTAAAAGCTCTTCAGAGCAAGGAATGTTTCTGAATTTATAAGCAGCATGTAAATTTAAGATCTGCTGTATGTAGTTAGGAAATGAGAGCCACACAGGGAGATCGAATGCCCTTTCACTGCTGCACCTCTGTCTTCCCTTTTCCTATGGAGAGGCTGCAGGGTTCCAGGGATCTGGATGAAACAAGAAAGGGACAGGCCAACAGAGAGAGAAGAGGCTGAAAGATGATTCTTTTGAAGATATTCCAAAGAGAAGATAGTAAAAATTTCTCAGGAGAAGAGCTGAAACAGAGCAAATAATGGATTTCTCTGTTTAACCATTTTCCCCGTTCCCAAATCACAACAGATAGGTTTCTAAGTATTTTCATTATTTAATATGAGGTTCCTAAATTGCAGGTCTTGATTTCACACAGTTGACTTCCCTTTCCTGCATGCCATACCAGTCTATGTGACTCACTGGCGTGGTTAATTTGTCATGCGCTGAGCAGCTCTTCCTGCCCAATCCAGAAAAATCAGTCCATGCAGTTTACTTTTTCTTCTTCTGCCCAAGCTACTCCTTTAGTCCTACAATATTCTGCTTTATTAAATGAAGACAGCTTTGATACATACAACATATTTTGTAATTTAAAAAAAAACAAACAACAACATAGCTGGGATTATTTTTATAAGGATTTTGATTTATTTATGACATTTAAGGGGACAAATAAATCAAAATTAACTGGGCTGGGATTAAATGCATGGCTGCTAGCAGCAGCCTGCAACAGGCATCTTCCATTCCTAGGGGACGAGATTACCTGTGCAGAAAAGAATTCATCAAGAAGAGAAAATGCTGTGCTAATTTTAGAAGAAATTCCTTTTTACACATCAACTTAAAGTTTGGATTTTCTTCTTTTGTGCAGTTCTCCTTAAATGGTTCAAAAGTTTCTTTCTTGGATTTGGGGGGGGGAGATGTTATGCTAAAGAGTATTTATTTTGTGTTTTCACAGCTGGGGAACCCCCTACAGTTAGGCATAGCTCTTCTGGTAGGAGGGTTGTTTCTTTCAACAGTAGTGACTCATTCTCCAGACTAATTTGGACAGAAAGTAGTTTCAGGATTTTCATGCAATCTGCACCGATATATTCCCTCAGTTCATGGGGCTGTGGTCTGCCTTTGCTGTGTGTGAGTTCTGACTGGCCTCAGGTAAAATTCTACCACATTTCAGGGTCAATCCTTCGGAGGTGGCCCAAAACAACTTCCTGCTTTTCCAGGACACCGTCAGCACGTGGGGCATCCTCCTAGATTTCAGGCTAAGCTCTGGGGTGGTTTGAGCAGACTTGTCTCCCATTGATCAGTGGGAGTGGAAGGTACTCGGCGTTTCTCAAGACCAGGCCTGAACCTTTGGTAGGAGGTGAAACTCATCCAAGATACTCCTAAACTTAGTCACTGAAATGGTAGTGCTACCAGACCAGAATGAGGGCATCTACTCAGACATTCGTTATTAAGAGTTTTGAGTACTGCGTGAGTGTATAACTAAAAATATCTTTCCTTTCCACTCTGGTCTGGTCCACCCTACCTGTCTGACCAGCTGCCTCCTCCTTCCTCTTTGCCCGTGCCTCTGCTTATTCTGTTCATGCTCTCTCATGCAAACATTAAAAAACACTGGAACTAATGAAACACATGTGAATGGTAGCATAAACACCATTATTATTTAAAATTTTTAACTCCCCCATCTTTCTATGGTGCTGTTTGTATTATATTTAATAAGGGTCCAGACTCTCAAACAGCTAATCACAGGGCTTTCACCACCATGGCTGAGGAAGTTGCCCCAAACACCCACAGGACCTGTGCTGATAAAAGTCAAATTCAATTTTTCATACAGATTTGACTTATCATTTCCCAAGAGCTGTGGTATCTTCAGATGTAGTAAAACTGAATTCTCCTGAGATTTTAATTGCTTTGCCCTTCTATCCGTGTTCTTGTTTTAAGGACTTTTGGTGGCATTTTAGGTCGGCCAAATTACAATCTGGAATTGTAATTTCAGGCAGATGTAACGTAATGTAGATGTAATTGTGATGCAGGTAGCTGTGGAGTAACTCCACCAAGTTCTCGAGGTAGCCCCTGGTTTCTCTGGCAGAGTTTGGCCTCACCCAGCCGCACGGCCAGGCTCCGCCAGAGGAAGGTCAATGCTGCCCCCTGGTGGCAGAGAGCTTCCTGCAGACCCAAGCGTTCAGTGGAGTTTTTTCATGTTCCTACTCTGCCAGTATTTCCAGTAAAAATCTCGGTTTTACAGGCTGTAGAAATTTATTTTCCCTGAAACCTGACAAGCAATGAATGTTTTTTTCCAGAACTTTCATCAGAAGCTGGTGTTTCAACCCCACAAATATTAGCATCAGACTAAGACACAAAATGTATGAGACGTGGTCCAACATTGGAGGTTTACCTATTATTTCACTTATTTGGGCTTTAAACTTTAGCATGATTATTTGATAGGTATACATTTCTTCTATAATTTAAAGAATAAAGAAATAAATTCTAAAAATAAATTAAAATATTCTATTAAAGGGTAAAGAAAAACCAAAATACAATTGCAAGTAGAAACATAAAGGCACTAAAGTCCTGTGCCGCTGCTGAATTGAGACTTTAAAACCTGTATTGTGAAGCAAATAAATTGTTTAAATTTGGGCAACAATTACTGCACATAGAATGCTTTGAAGCATTATGAAACATCCCTTTTATTGCTTTACCCTCATCTTGACCCACACTTTTCTCCCAGTCCCTATTCTTGTGAATAAAGATCCTTGCATGCAATTCCCCTTTGAAACTTACTGCTTTTAATCATCCTGGAGCGACATATGTTGCACCATCCAGTCAAGAGCTGAGCAACTTTCTTCCAAAGCATTCGGCCCTTTTTCAACAAAAGGATTCAGAAAATGGAGACCTAGGCCAGAGAACTGTGCTGGCCACAGAATGATTTCTGCCAAGCACACCAAGGACCTAGAGTCGTCAGCCTCTATTCACAGAGATCAGGGCACTATTAGACAATTAATCTCATTTCAACTAAAAGACTTAGTCATAAAGTAAACTGCCACTCACTATAATCAATATAAAGGGGAGACTGCATAAATTTTAGACCTAACATTATGTTTTTCCTTTCACAGTGTAATTGGACTCCCAGAAGAAGAGGACTGGCCTAATGACGTTGCCCTTCCAAGAAATGCTTTCACTTCCAGACCTGCGCAACCTATTGAAAAATTTGTACCAGATATTGATGAACTGGGCAAGGACTTGCTTCTTGTGAGTTTCTATTTGTTGTTCTCCAAGCCCCGCGACTGTGAGTTCCCACTGTGCATGCAACCTGCCCAGACACATTTATGTTTCCATTTAATGGAGTTGTTAAAGTAGGTGGATAAATCCATTTAAACCCGTGAAACATCAGCACAAAGACACCCCCTTTGGCTCAAGAGGTGTCAGAGCTGAGAACAGGCAGAGACTAGGAAACTGCCAGGCAAGTACCTGTTTGACCTGTCTTAGAGCTTATGCTTAGATCCTCATTGCTGACCACTGCTGTGCCACTGGGTCAGCTGGTCTCATAGCACAAGCCTGACGTGAGTACAAATGCTGATCTACCATTTTTCATGGAATAGCGGATTCAGAATAAAACAGAAAATAGGCCACAGGGGCAGATTACATCTGCATGCCTTCTACTGAACGCTGAAAACCTGAGGTTGGGAATTCACCAATTGTTGCCTCTTACAACTGGTAACACTGAATTCAACTGAATTACTTCCATCATTTTTGTAGATATGTTATAAGCCCCAGCCCTGAAATTCAGTCTTGGAATGGAATGTAGGGAATGGCTTACCTCAGTTTGCCTTTTGCTGTGCTTGTTGAAATCCAGCTGAATTTGTTCTCTGGAAGCCTTTCAAAGGTCTTGCTTCACATGGGCTCAGTAGAGGGGGCTTAGTGGAGCTCTTGAAAGACTTGCTACATCCCTCCAGGAGCTGCTGTCTCTGACCAGAGTTATTTCTAGAGAAGAGCAGATGGTCCTCCATTGTCCTTGCGACTGCAGCTCCCAGCTGTGGTAAGCTGGGCTGCATCTGGTCACCCGAAATGACAGCAGGAAACGCATCTGTTGTGCTTGACAATGGAACCTAGAGGAGGGACAAGAATTAGATTCTGGGAACAACAAGGAATAAGGTATGGCAGAGAGCTCAGTGAGTGAGAGGCACGATGGGAGGGAAGGAGAAGACAAATATGTATGCTGAGAAGGTGAGGTGGGAAGGGAAGCTGTTCCTGTTAGGCAAAACGATGAGAACTGGGAGCCACGGGTGAAAGGGGAGAGTGGTACTGGAAGTCACTGAGTTAATTTCAGAACTTAAAAGGTAGAAATTCTGATACAAGAAAAGAAAGTAGGAGTTGGAAGTGGTTAGACAATGACAATAGGAAGAATACTATTTGGAAGAGAAAGAAGGAGGAGAAGAAGAAGGTATAAAACACAAGGCTATGGGAGAGATTTCAGTGCTGGCTGGATAACGGCTGGGGTAAGCATCTGGAAAGAAGGCAAGCAAAGTACAACTAGGAAGAAGAGGGAGGAACTGAACACAAAGCTAGCATATGAAGGCTATGAAGTGAAAGACCCAACACCTATAGAAATGCTGAGGAATGTTCATTCATAAGGAGTGAACACATACCTTATGTTGCCGACCCATGCTGGTATAACCACAAAAGACCGGTGCATTGGGCACTGAGGGGCTTCAAAAGCTGTTCATGAGTAGTTGCTCCCGGCAGTCTGTGAGACAGACGTCCTGTGCTCCTGAATTCACGAAAACCTGAATTGGGATTTCCTAAATTATGAATACTCAAATTCTCTGACTTGTTATTTTCTATTAGCTTTGGGGATTTTCTATTAGCTGTGGGGATGCCACGTTCGTATCCTATGACGCCACTGCTTGTTTTAGTATGGATGATTACCCTATCATGCAACACCTACTGAAACCCTTTTGTATCTCATACTGGTCATAAATTGAAGGAGACATGAATTAATCTATATATGCAGTGTTAACACTGTTAACTGTACATTTTAGTTAAAAACAACTTCTTTTCATACTTTCAGAAATGCTTAGCATTCAATCCAGCCAAGAGAATATCTGCCTATGTTGCGCTCTCTCACCCATATTTCCATGATCTGGAGAAGTGCAAGGAGAACCTGGACTCTCACATGTCCTCCAGCCAAAACCCCAGTGAGGTGAACGCATCGTAATGCTGACTGAAGATGAACCACAAACGAACACAACGTGTAGCTGACAAGGCCACTGTCCCATACGAGCCCCATAGCTGTTCTAGCGAAGATCATTATTTGGAGGTTTTACGCACTTATCTTTTATTTTGGGATTGTGATGTTCTTTTCCAAGGAAATGAATCTAGTTTACTTTCATCCGAGCAACAGAAGGGCCAGGGCTCTGACCTGCTCCCATTGCAGCTTTATGTTTGTTTTGGGTTTGTTTTGTTTATCTACCTGGGAAAACGCCAGATGAAGAGAAGCTGCTGACCGGTTTTGCTGCCATTTTATCCTTTTAATATTGAATGCTGCCAGTGTGGACTAGGACGGCCGAGTCACTGCCAAAACATGACGCAATCTCTCTAGCTGCTGAAGCATGATTTGGTACTTTTTTATTATTATTATGTGATCTCTTACAGTGATATTTAAAGAATGGCATTGAAATATCAGATCTCTGCGACCTGCAGTTAACTGATATGTGCATTAATATATCCAGCTACTGTTCATTCATAGCATATGTGCGGGTGCTTCCCCACTTGAAAACTTGGATGGATTATTTTATCATTTCATTGCTCTATAAAAATAACAGTGATGATGGTGATCATAATAAATCTCTCAACTTTTAGGGTTTTTTCATACACAAACAAATTACTATCTAGTAGTTTGTGTGCGTGTTGCAAAACACAAGTGTTTTAAAAAACTTGTAGAGTCCTGTTCTTAAAGACTCTTTCAATTTCCAAATGGTTGGTTTGTGTTGAAATCCAGGCACATTCTAGCCCATCATCTAACCCATCTTTCCCCCTGGAAACAGCTGCATGCACATTTTCTTTATCTCATTCCAGATTTTCTGATATGCAGCTCAAAGACGTGAGCACAGCCAATGCAAATCAATACAGACTTTTGCCTTCAACCTGTTTTTATTAGCAGCCAAAAAGGAAAACAGAAAAACTATTTCCAGTTCAGAAGCAGAGACTCCTGTACCTGTAATAAGCACAGATAGGTATTTGTGCTGAATTGTACGCTGCATACTGTGCTGCCTTACCTGCAACACCCCTGTGCATCACCAGAGCATGAACATCACTGTCACAGAACCCCTCAGATGTCATTTATTGAGCAGACTTGTTTTCTATGCAGAAATGCATGAGCTTCTCTCCTAAACCACCATGTGGGTATCTTGGCACGTGCTTCTCCACTAGGATTAATGTGCCATTATTGAATGTCAAAATAACTAAGCAATTCACAATGCCTTTTATAGCACAGTTATTTTAAATATTACATTAAAATTTTATATTTAGTATTTTTACCTTAACTAAAATATATTTTCAGTGTTTTTAAAAGAAGCTTTTATTTTTTTAATACTGTACCGGGAAAAAAGAAATATTTTAAATCCATAAAAGCTGTTCCCTAGCATGACTTTAGTGCATTTACCTGGATATAACTTGGGGGAAAATATTGGTCCAACGAGTTAGCCCTTACGGTAAACCCCTAAATGGACACTATTGTGGTGTGAGTGATGTTGAGGGAAGCAGCTGGCTTTGCTCACTCCTGCCACAGATCCTCAGGCTGCTCTCTTCTTCACCTCTCTTCCCCCTGCCTAGCTGGTGAGCCAGCATCGTAACCTCACTCACAGCATGCCTGGCAGAAGCAGGTCCTTAGCCATGATGTGAGCAAGATGATTTTTCCAGCTGTGGCCTGGGAGCCACAGCCGCCTCCCCGGCAGGTCTCCGGCCCCGACACGGAGTGGCTGTGGTGAGCATCACCGTTACCCGCCTGTCGCACACCCGCGCTGGCTGGGACACGGCCCGTAGCTGGGACAGCCGGTGGGTCTACCTGGCTCTTGGGTAAAGCTTTTGTTACTGTTAGACACTTAACTGTGCCGCCTATGGTTCAATTCGGTCTGTTGTAAGCCAGCCAGGCTGTCAAAGGGGGCTGCGCAGGGCGATGCTGTGCAGAGCCTGACCCCTGAGCAGCACGCTGCCGGGGGTGTCCCCGCACAGCCACACTGCACACCCGCAGCACGGGAGCTGGGGAGGCTCTACCAGCCGGGGGCTGAGGGCCAGGGAATGGTCACGGCAGCTTAACCCTCTTCTCCTGGCCTTGCCTCGGCCAAATCTGCTCCTGCATCCACAGGAGCTGCACACTCAGTGCCCCGGTGCCATCCCAGCCTTGCTCCTCCCTGCTCCATGGACCTGAGCGTGAGGAGGTTTGAACATTCAGAGAAAAAGAAGGGCCCGAGTGCAATTTTTGCTAGCCATTTTTAAACACTACAACAAACAGACCCAAAATTCAGGACAATCTCATGACAGCAACAAATAGAAAAGTTTTTTACAGTTTTTTTTTAAAAAACATTTTGCCCAGTGCCACAGTACTGTACAGGCTTTATCGGGGCGTTCGGCTGGCGTGGCTTTCCAGCGGCTGTCCGGGAGCTCTCCCAGGGCTCTTCAACAACCAACACTGGGTGGAAACATAGGAGAGGAGAGGGTATTTTCAAATTAGGCTCAAAACTCTCCAACAGAGATATGCATCTGTTCCGTGTTAGAAGAGCTTGTTGTACTAAGCTTAGCGAAGTGAAGGAGTGAAGGCTAGAAGAGAATTCGATTGCTGAATTATGGCTCGTTATTAGGGTAGAACGCAAAAGAGAGAAGAGAACACTTAAAGCCACAGGTTAGTGTTGGCCCAAAAGCTGATGAGAATATGGAAATCACACCTAACTAGTAAGCTAAATACTGTAGCAGGATTTCCCAACCTGCAGTAGCAGAAGAGCTCAGATGAGCCGCAGAGAAAAGCAGGGGCTGGCTTGTGGAGTGAGAGCTTCTGCCACATGGTGCTGGACCTTGTCTAATATAGGATCAGGGCAGAAATGGGGGTATTCAGGAGAACAGCTTGAGAAGGGCTGCATTAACGGTCATCTTCTGGAACAGCCTTCCACTGGGAATGGCAGGAACAAAAAAAAAAAAATCTAAGTTCTGTCTTGGGGAAAAGATTAATCTAGTGGTGTCCTTGTAGTAGCAAGGGCCTAGGTTCAAAGGACCAATGACTTTTCAAATTACTTGCTTCTCAAAATCTCTTTAGGAAGAAATTCCATTTTAGGTGCCATAGGCCTACTCTTACTCCAGTCTTCCCTGCCCAGCTGTGAGACATCCCTTACCCTGGCAAACTGAGGAAGCCTGTTCTCTGGCAGGGAAAGCGTTGGCACTGCCTAAACTCATGCCAGGAATGATGCTTGTAATTAGACAGTACAGATAACGGTGGGACTGTGCTCAAGCCCATGCCTTTGCTCTTTTAATTTTACTGCCATAGCTCTAGTAATTGCAGACCTTCACTCATTACTGCCATATGTGTAGGCTGTAGGAATTGTATATGTGACAAAGAAAGTGCTCCTTGACACACGTATGTGTGGTGAAACTCTTCATACACCCTTTAAATAGGACTTCAGAGTGCAATTCTTAGGAATCCCTATGCCTGTGTGTGTTCTATAGGAGCAGTTCAACAGCAGCTAAAAACCACTGAAAAACAGAAACTATATTCAAAATAAGTATAGATGTTTAGCTCCTGGAGCACCCACTAGACACTGTGCTCTTCTCAGCAGAGAACAGGCTGTTCTATGGAATGGAAGGAGCAATTGCTGTCTCCCACCAGCCTGTTTTTTATCACCCTTCATAATTCTGCAGGAAAACCAGACCCAAAATAGCCAAGGAAAGAACTCACCAAGGCCAGCTAGTGAAGTGCTACGTGCTGACCCACAACAATGCCTCTGCAGCAGCCCTCTTCTCCCGTCACCCTGTCTCCACGCTCGCCCCAACTCTCCAGTTCTTCTCCTTCAGCTCCCTCTTGGAAACAGGTTTCAGTGATGCTCACAGGTGCTATTTCCAACAAGATTCTTCCAAATTTTCCATAGCTACAGTGTCAGTTTCCCCTGCATCCCTATTACCCTGTGTTGCTTCTTTTAGTCCAGCAGCCCATAACCAATGATTAAAAAAGAACCTCTTTGTGCACCTCCTCGCTCACCCTTAGTTTTGCATAGACCTCTGTTGCCTTCTGTGTGCTGAGTAAAACTCTGGAGATAGGGTTTGTGCATGTTTCTATGTAGGCTGTGCCCACACTCCAGGGTCCTTTCAGCCTATTAATCCACATGGTAAATGTTAGAGTACCTTTCTCTGTTGTTTCTATCCTAAAACACACCAAAAAATGAGGACATAGTGTTTGCAAAGTACTGAAATTTGGTGCTATGTGTACAGAGCCTTTACTTTATGCAGAGCCTTTTAGGGTGAAAGGAAGGAGTAAGTGGTAGCCTTTGAGCATCTTCTGCTTGGGGGCTGGTATGCAGCAGCCTAACTCTCACCTGGCTTTTACACACAATGGTTGTTTTGGTGACTAAGAAGACAATACTGTGCTGTGCTACTTTTCACAGGTTCACTCACTGTCTTTGGGAAGCATGTTTTATTAGAGATGTAATTGTCTCTGCTGTTAGCTGTCAGGCCAACTTTAATATGGAAAACAGAGAGAAAAGGTGCTGATTTGGTCTTTTAGCCAACAAACTTGGAGCACTTATCTGACTCACAACTGAAAACACATCAGTTGTCAAATATGTATATGAATCATAAACCACACAGTTTGGTTTAAAAGGCCACATAAATTAATTACGTTCTGTGTATAAAACACAGCTGAATAATAAGGAAGTTTCTTCCAAGAACTCTGTTTTATAGAACCACTTTGCTAGTATTTTTCCTATGCATTAGTTTCAGGAATAGACGGATTTTTATATACAATGTGAATTAGAAGACAGTAGGCTGTTAGAGAGATTTTGTTGTGTTGTGCTTGAAGCTTGAGTTGATCACCCCCTTAGGAACCTAACGTATTTATTGCTACAAAACTGCTTCTTAACATCAGGATCTTTTTTGATGTTAACGGGATTTCACTCTTAACGTGTAAATTGCTTTCTTGAGATTAGTGTGTTAGAAAAAACATTTTTCCAAACTGCAATTAAGAAATAGATTTTTACTTTCACAGAGAATAATATTATATGCTGAAATCTTTAGTAACTGACCGCTAATAAGCTATCACTTTTACTTCCTTTTGGTTACTAGGTATTGGACTATACAGATTACTTTCCATGAAGAAAAAAATCAGAAACAATCTCTAGAAAAGTAAATGAAATTTTATATGTTTAACCTTCTGAGTTTCACTTTCACATGTACACAAGTACAGTTCAGGTGTGCAAAAATACAACTACGATTTCAACAGTCTAACAGGCTGTACAACTCAAATAGGAGTTTTATTTGTGAGCTATTTATTTTATTATATCTCTTTGTTTTGCAAATTATTAGATAATGGTTATAATATAATTCTAGTTTCTGGATGAGACTCTGTAACCATCAAATCCCAGTAATTTATGTAAAACAGTAAGAACCTTTATCATCAATTTAAATTAACTAGGCCATTAAGAAAGATGCAGACATGTGAACTGACAGGGATACTTTTGCCAAGTGTTATTTCTTCTCTTTAGTCTGAAGCTCAGCAAGTGTCACATACTGATATGCAATATATGCACAATATAAGAACCATGAAAACACTTAGGAGTAGTGTGCACAGATAATATGAAAAATGGCTCATTAGGTTCTTGCAGAAACCAGATAAAAATCATTCTTTTAGCTGTAACAGTCATAATTTTGAAACTGATATATTTTTCCATTAAAAAATATTCCTGAAAAATTACATACATGTTTTTAATTCAGACAGTGTTAGGCACCCCAGCAGTTCTGAGTCGAATAGGAACTTGTTCCCAATATGGATTCTGCAAGGCCAGTAGGAACCATTGGTTCTTTCTGCGTTCAGCAGCAGCTGGAATCAGCCAGCACCTTGCTCTGTGGAGCCTCCTGCTCTCTGGGCAGAAAAGCCCAAGGCCGCTGTGAGTCAAGTTGGTGGAAAACTTGCTTTGACTTAACTGAAGTCCTTTGAGAGCTTCTGCAATATCCCAATTTCCAGCTGTCACTGAAAGACTGCGCAGCCCAGCAAAGACAAACCAAAACCTGGGCATTGTTTCCTTCAGATTAAATGTTTTAGCTGTGTTAGAATATACTGGTGGGCTTCATCCAGCCCAGTGCCAGGGAGACTTTTACGTGGCTGGAGATAGTTGGAAGAGATTCTGCTGTGGATACTTTGATACTGGGTGATTGTGGTAGAGTCTTTTGTTTCCAAAAAAAAAGGTCAGACAAAAGATATTGCCTTCTTTTTAAAAAAGCAAACAACTGACACTTAGTAAAGATTAAAAAGGAGATTTTAAGGAACTATTGGGAAAATGTTGTTGGGATAAGGAGTGTATTTATAATATGAAAAATGTAAATACAAACAATGTGTATTAAATATGCATTGAAACCGATACTTCCTCACTGATCTCACAAAGTTGATAGGTTTCTATGGGAGAAAAGAATCCAAGTATGAACTTGTTCTAACTACCATTTTAATGGTCTTTTGCACTAAAGCAACCTGTACGATTGGACTGAAAGGAGGGAAAGCAGGTAATGTTTAACTTGTGATTTACTTCAGCAATGGATATGCTGTAAAGCTCTCAAGCTTGCTCTCCGTATCTGAGCGAGCTAATCCACACTATTTAGCTGTCTGCACCTTAAACCCATCCATGTGCCAGAAAAAAACACCTTTTCTAGTGTTTACATGGACATTTGCTCCCATTGACATGCTGATGTTAAACCCAGCCAGAGCACTGTGTGATGGAAAATGAATTTTTACAGACTGCCAGCTTCCTTTGTGCAATCACCCCTAAAGAGTTTGTAATTAACATTCTACTTTATGCAGCCTTTCCTCTTATTCCACATTTCATACCTCTCTCATGTTATGCAAATGCTTAGCCTTCTTTAAAAAAGAAAAAAGCAGTTCTTGAGTGTTAGGATCAGTTTGGAGTAAGCCAGATGAGGGAGGAAAATTGTGAAGTGCTGCAAAGATAGGAAAAATGGGCAGAGATTGGGAGAGTTCAGGACAATTTTGGCAAGTGCATTTGACTAGTGGAAAAGTGACGTACGAGTGTAGGAGGAAGACTTGTTTTTCCACATGCTTAGTTTTCTCCTGTCGTTTACTTTCATAAGCCTGAGATGATAAAGCAAGACTCTTGCACGGGATGTTAGTTCCAGATACTTATTACACCAACTCAAGCCATGAGTTCTAGTGCAGTTTTTCAGCATAGCAACAGCTCTATTTTTTAAATCAGATGTTGCAGAAGTGAGACTTTTTTTCTGTGCAGATATAAAAGAAGAAAAAGTCTTATGAGAGGCTGAGAGCAGATTAACCTGGGTACTCGGGCACTGCCTGTAGTGCGGCTGGGACCTGGGGCGTGCACAGCTCTGAGGCAGCAGGGTCACCAGCAGTGCCCACCAACGTGCGACGGTGTGCGCTGGGAGCTGAGCCCTTCGCCAACCCAGCGCGGGGCGGGCTTGAGCACTTGGATTTTGGTAAGATTATCCACACGCAAGTTTTGTTGGACGAGTCCAGGTGGTTCACCATCTTATGGGAGCAAGTCTTAGAGTCTGTCTGACACCCCGTGTAATGCTGCAGAACCAGCCTCCACGGGAAGAACGCTTTTTGGTAGGTTGTACAGCGGGAACGGCGCTGTCTGAGCTGCGGCGCCAACCTGAGACCTACCATTCACTGTTACTATGCCACCTCCAAAAATACAGAATGTAAGGCCTGTGTAGCATTTTGCTGTGTCCAGCCCATGTGTGAGGGCAGCTGGGTGAACGCTGGCCCGGAGTGGGTAATTTAATCTTCCCTCAGGAGTGAGGCAGTAGGCACTGCGGTGTCAGGAGGGACTGCAAAGACTCATCCACCCTTCCCTTCTTCTCCCGGGATGTCTGGCAACCCAGTGTTTTTCCAGTGTTGCTTTGGTTTGATGAGTTTTATTTCACCTCCACCACCACCATTCTCCTTCCCACAGCGCATAACAAGCCGGATGGAAAGGCGTTACCCGGGTTTGCCAGCAGAGCCGGCCAGCACTGCTGGAAATGGCCATCACTCTCTGGTGGCCAATAGTAAATGAATCGGTTGTCTCTGTTTAGATTCCAACAAATTAGCAGTCAATATCCATGACACCCTCCTTGCGTTCAGTGCTGATAAATAACCTCCCTGCCATTCGCCACAGTGCCCAGAATCTCTATTCCTGGAGATTGAAACCCCATCCCACAAGCGGTGGGTCACTGCAGTGTGGGCAGAAGCTGGTCACTGTCTGGTGGTGCTTTTTGGTGAGGAACAAGGGCCAGTTCCAACAGAGACGGCCTGAAAGAGTGTGGAGGACTCAGCCAGGCACCTTTCACAGGCAAGGTGGCCACTTCTGCTGAAGCGAGAAAGTTTAAAATACTCAAGATAGAGGGAATATAAAGATGACGTTTATTTTTCTCATAGAATCTGTGTTATACAGAAAGGTCTATGATTTTGGCACTGAAACCAAGCCCAGAGGAACCCATTTATTCTTCCCTTTCAGTCTTTAATTTCTTTGTAAATTCTTTTCAAGCTTTCGGATTAATGTATTTATGGTCCGTTTTATTCCAATTCTTTTAAGCGGTCTCTATCTGCCATTGAATCTTGTATGGGTTTTATTTTTAATGTAGTATTTACCTGCATTACTTTGAACAGCCTTAAAAGTATAATGTCTTTGAATGCTCTAGTTAAAGAGAAATTATACTCTCAAAATGATGTCTTAGGAGGTGGGAAATTATGTTTATGTTATAACCCCGAAAGCATCACCGGGTGCTTTCACCTGCGTGTCTGTCTTTGTGTGGCAGAGCGTGTTTGTGTGTCCTCGCTGTCCTGATGCCCTGGGGTCTGCAGAGGGGTGAGGGCTGTGTCCCCCCGGCAGCCCCACCACGCCGAGAGGGGCTGCCCTCCGTAGGGCCCCCCCAGAGGTCTCTGCAGAGAAAGGCTTTCCTGTGCCACTGCCCGCAGCGGTGAGGACACGGCGAGGACACGGGGTTAATGCCAGCACCAGGACACCGGCAATCGGGGTCAGTGTTTATTGAAGATGTGGGCGCATTTATCTGTAGGTTATCTGACATGCACCTAAATTATTGCTATTATAAATCAGTATATTATTTCTTATGAAAACACACTAGGCCTGTGAAATGGTAGTTGCCAGAAAACATGTTGAGTCGCTGCTTTATTGTTTGTTTGCATGTAGGATATGTTTGGGTTGTTGAAGTGAAGGTAGTTCCAGAGAGAGGCAGAAAGGAAGATCAGCACAAACCAATTATAAATAAGCTTGGTACTGTACCTTGAGTTGTGCAACTAGAGTAGTAGGTGTGCTCAGATGTAGGATTTTTTATGCTTTAGGGTATTTTTATTTGTTTTAATATGTAAAGAAATAAGTAGATTACTTTGAAATGCTATTGTAGAGCTGATTTTACACGTGGCGGGGGAATGTTGTCTGAAGAATTAAAACTAGAATACCTTACCCAGGCTGCCTCCAGCCCTGCTGTGCTTGTAGCCGGCCCAGCAGGTTCCTCTGCACTTTGCCTTGTGCAGCCTCTTGTGACTGCAGAAGGTTGTTTGCAGTGATAAAGTTGCCCACCTGGGCTTTAACTGAGACTGTTGGCTAAACAGAAGCATAAAGGCAGCAAATTTAGGTATTTTTTGGTGCATGGACAATTGCATTAAATAGGATCGGGGTTTCAAAGTATTTGAAATCATTCAGCATCATTTACTCCCGTTTTAACTCCACTGACTACAGTTAAATTGAACCAAGAATTTGACCTTGTGAGTCTACAAATTTCAGTGTCGGGCAGCTCAGGTCTATATATAGTTAAGCTTAGGAAATCAGCAAGAATACTATATAAATGGTAATGTCTGGTAAAAATCTTAACCCTAGTAACATTGTTTCTCTCGAAATTTCTATTCATTACTTTTTTTTATACAAAAGTTCAGAAGTGCACTTCTTGGTGGCGTTGGGAAAGGTGGAGAAAAGCAGCTGCTGGTGGAGAAATGTATGGGATCCCGCTGCTCCTGCCGCAGGCTCGCACCCGCGGAGCCCGGCGGGAGACAGGGCTGGGGGCAGCTTCTTCCCAGCTCTCACGGGATACTGGCTTCAGAGTCTGCACCATGAGTCACCTTCTCAAAAGGCATTATTAAAACTTGGGCTTTCAGGTCTATAGAATACTATGAACAGTGAGGACAGCTTCTGAGACACATCCAGAGTAACGTCATTAATCCATATGATGTCCGACCAATATCCATTAGCGAATCAAAATCTGTCTGGGAACCTGTATTTCTCAGTATGATTTTACAAAAAATAACATGAAAAACATTCAGAAAGTTAAAACAGCCTCTAATGCTGTTTGGCTTTCTTTTTCCCTTCCACCCCTCTTTTGTAACAAAATATCATTTGCTCTGGAGGTGTCTGGGATTCGATAATTCCAGGAAAACAGGCAAAGCAGTTTCAAGTGTATTTTTTTCCATTCAGCTTAGGGCATACACTCAGCTGGTGGCAATCAGCCCAGTCCTGTTGGCTGCTCCGGCTCGGTGCGGGTGCGTGCCCGCGGCGGGGGTCTGGCACCCCACGGGGCTGCGGGGTCTGTCCCACTGCCCGGTGCCACCCCCGCCTGCGCACAGGGCGCCATTCACTGTATCACCTCATACTTGAAATTCACCATGTTCTTCTAATCAGGGTACTAAGATGAAAAGGTGCGTGTGTTACTGTTTCTTTATAAAGGTGCGTCATTTGTTTTTATTCTGTGTGCTTCATAGTTACTGCTCAGTGTTCCTTACCTTCTGTGCCTTCAGCAGTAAAGCCACCCCTGTGTGAGACGCAGCATCACCTGCAGAGGCACAGGAAAACCTAACAGGGATTTCTTCAGTTGTTGCTCAAAGATACTGGTTTACCTTTCAGTTGTCAGTGTGACATCAAGGGGCAGTCAGTGTGACAACAACGTGCCAGCTGTGGCAGGTAAAGGCACGGCAGCCTTGCTGTTGGCAGCCTCTCTCCTCTCCTGACCCGGCTGCCACACACGCCTTGCAAAGAAACCCCTTTCTGCTGCAGAGAACAAGCGGCTGGGAGATAACGCAGACCCTCTGGGAGCTCCACAGCCCCCCTGGCAAGCTCCCGGTCCCGCCTGCCCCCCACGGGGCTCTGGCTGTGACAGCCCCTGGGACGGGGCAGCGAGCCCACCACATGCCGTGTCACGTGCCCGTGGGCTTTTGCAGGTGCGTAAGGGTGGCTGACTGCAAAAACAACCGGGGGCCAATACAGCCACCTCAAACCCAGGCGCACGGGAGGTGATCCATATTGTATTGTATCAGAACTACAGTCCTTTGGAACTGAACGTTTTGCTGCTGGCAGTGCAAGAAAAGCAAAGTTCTGTATTTATTGTTGGGTGCTGAGGGTTCAGTATGAAAATCAATGTAATAAAAATTTTCACGGTGTCAAGTTCGTTTTAGTCGTTCCCAAATTATTGGAAAGTAAAAAGGCAAAAAATTAGTTTCGTATTTAAAACTGCTTTCCTGAGGTTTACTTCACCTTTCTAGCTATATTTTTCTTTTATCTAAAAATGTAAAATGAATACAAATGCAGTAAGTATTGTATATTAAATACAGAAAAATAGCAACATTGTTTTCTAGTTTTTATGTTTGCAAGTGTTTTCCTCAACACGCTGGGTATTCCAGAAGATCACGGTAGGGACACACAGCCAGGCACAGGACCATCAGCACAGGCACACCCTTCCAGGCACCTTACCACATACCTTCAGTTTCATAAAAATCTAACCTCATTTGTCCTGATTTCTCTTCTCTGATCTACTTTATTCCTTACCTAGGATGAATTCCATTTAAAAAAAAAAAAAAGTGAGTCTTTCAAAGGCATGGCGCTGTTGCCATCGCTGTGAGCGCTGTGCATTCAGCACGAGCCTGTCTTTACTGAAATCTTCCTTGATTCGGTTTAGGGAAATTGTGCTTCGATTCAACTATAACAGTATGTCACGCATGAAATGCAGTGATTTCCCCAAATGTTACTTGATCCCACTGCTGCACTAACATGCGTGGAATCTGTGTATTCCTGAAGATCCTGCTGCCTTCATCTTCCTCTGTTAAGGAGCTAAGCACACTTTATCGATTGGCTAGTTTTTCTTCTTTGGCTAGAAATCAGTAATGTTTCTGGGTATGTATGTAGAAATGGCAAAAGAGCATGTTTCGAGTCAAACACAAAATGACACAACATCAGGCTCTAAAACCAGATGCATATTTTCTGTCTTTGCTCCGAACCAACCAAAAAATCCTCATCAAAACAACTCAAATAAAGTTTTAGCTTATTGAGAAGATCATGAAGTGCCCTCCAGAGCAGGAGACAAGTAGTTTCTACTAATGAGGCCTCCAATGAGCCACAGACACAGGAATCTAGAAACCATTAGCTCAAGCAGGCTTCAGACAGAAACGCCGGCAGAGCGTAACCAGAGCCCAAAGCCGGAGGGGGTTTCGTACCAAGACCCCGCAGGTTGTGCTGCCCCAGGAGCCACAGGGAACAAGAAAACCCAATAGTCTGTGGACAATTATGGAACAAAGTCTTCACATGGGAATTTCCTTCCCAGCTTCTCATGTGTGAGAAGATGACTCAGGCCACGCATGAAGTTCGTAAAACACAATGACGGAAGAGAAAATTATAGTTTAAAAAGAAAAAGGAAATAAAAATCCGTTAAACAAAATATTAAGGATCTTGTAGAAATAAGCACAAATGTTACTTGCATTAGTCACATAGGTGTTCTCATCCTCTTCACCTCAAAATTATCCAGTGACACTAATGTCACATGCTTATTAGCACCATAGAAACAAATGTTCCTTTTAGAAGATTTAAATGCGGTGTCTTTGTCTATCATTTGCCTGCCATTTGGTGACACATGGCACCCAAGATTCACAGTTTCACAGAATCCCATGGGCTTGGAAGGGACCTCTGGAGATCACCTAGTCCAACCCCCTGCCAGAGCAGGGTCACCCTGAGCAGATCCCACAGGAACGTGTCCAGGGGGGGTTTGAATGTCTCCAGAGAAGGAGACTCCACCACCTCTCTGGGCAGCCTCTGCCAGGGCTCTGCCACCCTCACAGGAAAGAAGTTCCTCTTCGTGTTTAGGTGGAACTTCCTATGGCCAAGTTTGTGCCTGTTGCCCCTTGTCCTGTCCCTGGGCACCACTTGAAAAAGCCTGGCCCCATCCTCCTGACACCCATCCTTTCAGTATTTATAGGTGTTGATCAGATCCCCCCTCAGTCTTCTCTTCTCCAGGGTAAAAAGACCCAAGTCTCTACAGTACCCGCAGCCTGCCTCACCTGACACCCATCCCCACCTCTGATAAACAAGGTGCCCTCGGTCTCCTGACACACACAGCACTTCCTTCCTCTTAAGTATTTTCATCCATTTTTTGACGCTGTTCCACCCGCCACCGACCACCAGATGGGCCGAGAGGAGACAAAACCCTCACCATGAAATCCCGTCCCGGGGGGTTGATCCCAGACGGAGCCCTTCGAGGCCTAGTCCTCCCCGCGAACCCCGCTCCCTCCCCCGGCCGCCCCTCACGAGGCCGTTCCCTTCCTCTTCCCGCCGCCCCGGCGCTGAGGCGGGGCGCTTAACGGCCGCTAGAGGGCGCTGTGCGGCCGCCGCTGCCCTCACCTCGGCGGCTGCGCGGGGCCCGGGGCGGCTTCCCGGGCGAAGGGAAAGGGGCCCTGGGCTGAGGCGACGCTGGCGGTGGCGGGCGGAGGGTGTCGGCGGCGCCATGGGGAAGCGGGACAACCGGGTGGTGAGTAAGGGCGGGCAACGCGGAGGCCGGCGCTGGGTTCCGCCACAGTCGCGGCGGCGCCTCCCGTGGCTGTGGCGGATCCCAGCGCCGGCCCCGGCCGGGGAAGCGTTGCCTCAACCGGGGCCGCCGCCCCGCAGCGGGGGAGAAGAGAGGGCCTCCGGGCGGGAGGCTGTGGAGCCGGGGCGCCGGCCGGACGGCCCCCGGGGTTCAGAGAACAAAGGCGGGCCCGCTCCGGGGGAGCGCGGCCTGGGCGGCCCGGCCTGTCGGCTGGGCCCCGCAGCACCGCCAAGGGCCCTGTCAGACCCGGTGCCCGGGCGGGGAAGGGAAGGCGGTTCCTGGTGGGTCCTTGAGGGGATAAAACGTTCCCGGTGGGGGCTGAAACGCTCGCGGACCTTCCCTCGGCCGCGTTTCCCGGAGCCGGGCCTGCAGGCCAGGGGGGGCCTGTGGAACAGGGCAGGGGGTAATGGTTTTAAATCGGAAGGGGGGAGATTGAGGTGAGATCTGAGGCAGAACTTGTTTGCTGTGAGGGTGGTGAGAGCCTGGCCCAGGTTGCCCAGAGAAGCTGTGGCTGCCCCATCCCTGGAGGAGTTCAAGGCCAGGTTGGAGGGGCTTGGAGCAACCTGGGGTGTTGGGAAGTGTCCCTGCCCAGGGCAGGGGGTGGCACTGGGGGGGCTTTAAGGTCCCTTCCAGCTCTAACCATTCTATGATTCTACAGCCCAGCCCCAGGCACCGCCGGTGGCCTCGGGAGGCGGGGGCCACGGGCCACAATGTGCTGGTGGCCCCTGAGCGCAGAGCCTGGTCTGCACTGGCTTTAAACTTTTTCATACCAGGCAGCCACTCCCCGTATGCTCAAGTTTCATCATTGGAAATTTAAAACTAACGATGTTCATGATTAAAAACAAGTCACAAGACTTTCCCCCTTCCCCCCCCCTCCTTGATCCTTTTCTAGTATATAGTACTCGGATCCATTCTGGGAAATCTCTTTGCTTGCCTTGACGGAGTAACACCTAATAGACACGATGGATGTATGCAAACGGGTTGCTCAGTGTCTTGGGTTACTTTATTACAGCATCAAAATAATGGAGTCCAGTGAGAAAGAGTTGACAGTGTTAGACTGCAAGATCAGCCTCTACTTGGAATGTATTGCTCTTTTGGGTGTACTTTGGGTATAATTATTTCTTATTAATTTTCTTTTAACGGGACAGTGCGATACACTACCAATAATTTGGTTGGCAAATTTTTATGTTCCTCTACAAGGTTCATTCTGCCCCGATGGCTGCCACTAAAGACAAGTTATAACATCAGACCCTTTGCTTCTCTTCTATGATCATAGAGGTTTCCACCTGTTACTTCTTTCCCGTGTCCCTTCTTAAGCACGCCATCGTCCTGACTATTGGGAGATGGAAAATAAATGTGTTTCTGTCACATCTCCAGCGTGACAGAAGGGTGACAACTACTGCTTGCAAGGCAATAATAGTTGGTATTACCTGCCCAGAGAGCCCTCGCTGACTGAAGGTGCCTTATGCTTTCCATGAGCATGAAAGCTGTACAACAAACGCTTTTCAGTGACTGCTTGAGCAAGCTGCCAGAGGAAGAAAATTAATGTGCAGACAAGCACTTCCTTTACTGGGGGTGCGTTTCTGTGCTCACTCTGGCTACTGACATGCAGCTTGGCAAAGGAGTGTAAATACTTCTAAGAAATGTTTATTGATGAAGTAATTCTTCATAAATAAGCCTGTTTGAAATTACAAGAACATTTTTTAAGACATAAATTTCCGAGACGTGGAATATAAAGCAGTATTCAGTCACATTATGTTCTTGCTGCCAGAGTGTTACAGAAAGGCCCTGCGGGGAGGACGGTTTCTGGTTCTCTGGGGGCAGTTTGAGGAAGTAGAAAAACAACATTTGACAGTTGTAGCCTCTTCTGCAGGCAAAGAGGGAGTTGTGTTGGGGGTGGTGGGGTGTTCAGTTCAGATTAGCTCAGGTAAGAAAGTAGCTAATTTAAGAGCAGCAAGAAACCTTCTTTTTAGGAATAATAATTATGTAAGAAGCTAGAGCTTTCAGATGTAAATTCTTGAATGGTAACCAAAAAGAGTTGACTCACTTCGCTCACTGGAGTAAGCCAAGTCATGAGCTACATTTCTGTTGTCTTCTCTAGTGTATCTAGTACATTTAAATTATTTTTATTTAGTGAAAACTGTTCAAACACTGCCTTCTTGCATTGCTAAAGGAGCTCCTTTTTCACTCGAAGCTGAATTCAAATGCAAAATTTTTACTCATTTGTAGATCTGTAATATAATAATATGCTGGAGTTAGTAAGGGGAATATGTATCTGGAGGTGCTGTGTCTGCTGGAGTCCATACACCCACCTGACTGCAGAAGATGCCAGGCTGAGATTAAAGGAGTTTGAATTGGCACACCTCAGCATTTGCTTGCCCGCGTTAGTTACCCCTTTTGTGTCAATTAAATCAACAAAAAGAAGCCCCAACAAATGGCAGTAAACGTCGCTCTTGGCGTTATAAAATCGAGTCAAAAAATGGTCCACTTGAAAGAGTCCTCTGATGGACCACCTCCAGTGTGGTCCAGCCCATGGACCAGGAGCTGAATGCGCTTCCCACCGACCCGTGGTCCCTCCTCCAGGGCTAAGGGT